CACTTTTTTTTGTATTGCACGTGAACATTAGAAGCACAAGGAAATAATGGAGCCTCTTCAACCTTCTTGTTAAGGACGTGACAGCAAACACGGACAGTTTTGTACTTGCCGAGACTAATGTGTCTGAGGATTCGTAGAATCTGTTTAAATTAGCTGGCTATAATTCCTTCTGGTTTTCGCGGTCAAATGTGGGGGGTGGGGGGATCGCGCTTTGCATTAAGGACAAATGGCTGGTTTCTAAACTCGACATCTCTTTTTCCCATGCATCCACGCTTAAAATTGAGAATTCCAATTTTATGATTTTTATGTTACCTTGTTATAGACCTCCTTCGCAAAGCGTTAGAAGTTTTTTTAGAAGAATTCTAGTCTGGGGAAGCTGTGTGTCACAGTCGCTCCCGCCTGAAGGTTAGAGGCGCGATTCCCACTTAACGGTTCGCCCGCCGGCCTTCTACAACGACTGGGAGCGACATTTAGTTTTGTTAAGGACAATCAGCCCGCGCGGTTGGCGCGTGTGCCCAAGTCGGGGAAGAACTCAATTAGCTCACGCAGATACACATCGTTCGAATGAAAAAAAAAAATATTAAAGATATTTACAATTTCCTGTAATGCCGAATTAGAGCGCAGCTCTTGAGGAGGAGGAGAGAAGGGTACTGAGGGGAGGCTATGCCCCTCCTCCTCTCCTGCTCGCCTCCCATTTATGGGAAACTTTTCCGCTAAATTTAGCGGGGAAATTTTTCGATAAATCCTCAAAATTTATTTATTTACTTGGAAAGTAAAATGTATTTACTTCGAAAAAAATAGAAATATACATTACGAGGTTTGGCGCATAGGCAAAGACCACACACACGCACACGCGCACACACACACACACACACACACACACACACACACACACACACACTCACACTCACACTCACACACACATACACACACACACACACTCACACTCACACACACACACACACTCACACTCACACTCACACTCACACACACATACACACACACACACACACACACACGCATACTCAATATTAAAAACGAAAAAAAGAGAAAATGGTCGGCGCGCTACAGCATCATCAGAGTTGTAAAAAACCTACAGAATAATTAGAAAATCCGAACAGGCGGCGCGCATCAGCAATACTAACGTTCTGAATAGAATACGGCAATGAAATAAAATAACAAAGCTACGTACTGAGAGCATGGGAGATTAAACGTCCGCAAAAAGTCCGAACAGGTGGGCCTGACTCAAATTTGGTGTCGAAGGTACATCGTCGGGCTCTCGGCGGTGGTGAGCTAGCAGGAAGACAACAGCTGTGAAGGTCAAAAAGCCTCAGAAAGTATTGCGTCGCCGGGCCGCCATTCTCGCTGGCTTCACCGGGCTACCAACAGCATCTTGTCTTCTTGACTACCCAAAAACCTCTCCCGAAAAACTATCGGCTTCCCACGAAAACCGTGCCCCTCCTAGTCGGCGTATTTCCTGCCTTTGTTGGTGCCGTAGGCACCCCCCGGTGGAAAGGAAAGGGAAGAGAAAAACAAAACCGGGTTTCGACTTCCCGTTGGTCGCAACGCGAGGCGGCCCACTCATACTGAAAATTGGAGAAGGGACACGGCGAGCAGCACAAAGGCACACATAAAAAGATCGTGGGAGAGGCGGCCGGTGCCAGAGGTTGTGGCACTGTTGTTGCATCATTTCTATCTGCGATGTCGATTTCTTGATTTCGCTTGGCGGGAGTCCTTCGCAGGAGTTTGTTTCAGTCGCTCCGCACTGACGTTCCTCATTTCTCCTGGTAGGTCTGGGACAAAGTTCACCGTTTTCTGCGTGGTATCGGTGTTTATCGTTCCTTTCGTGGTAAGTGGTGCGCAATCACCGTGTTCCCCTGGCGGTGTGCTTGCTGTGCGTTTCCTGTATCAACTACGAGAGTGACGCGAGCTTAGGGTCTTGTAAAGTTGCAGGTGTTCTCCCTTTCTGGACACTTCAACCGTCACCAAACGTTTATTCTTTTTGCTTTGCGTTCAATGAGTGGCTGCGTCGCACATGTTGCTCGCATGTATCTTGCCGCAGTTCTTGCAAAGCTCCTCCTTGGGGCAGTGACGTTGCATGTGACCTTCTCTGTGGTAGCGAAAGCAGTAGAGCGTCCGCGGCACGTACTGCGCTAGGCTGCAAAACTCCACATTTTATGTCAATTTTTTTTTGGTCGAGTGGTATAAAAAGTAATAATTACGTACTCACTTTGACCCATTCGCCGCACGCCCAGATACATTGCGCTCTTGTAGTGCATATTCCTCGTAATTTCAGGGCCTGTTTCATCTTTTTCTACATTGAATCCGCCCCTGAATGAACCCCTCCTGTGGAAGTGGTGGGCCTCGATTCCTACGGCACCAGCTAGGGCTTTACTCTTGGATCCCCAACACCTTCACGACGCGTCTGGCGTGTCTGCGGCAGTGACACGTCACAGTTATAAGTTGTCGCGATGATTTGTTTTCATTGAGACGTAGGCTCCAAGCTTGGGGTTGGGCAACAACTTCATCAGTGTCTGGCCGGGTGCCTTCTTCGTTATGTCCATGATCAATTTCTGTCCCTGATGGCGCAAAAGGACCATTTACTTATCTGTATTGATACTTCCCTTGACTTTTCTTGTTTTCTGCGGGGACTTGTGTGACCGGCCTGCCATCTCCCATCAAAAGTCTTCGCTTGCTGAGACCACCTGGGCACTCGTTCCTTGTTCATCGAGTTCGTGCTTACGCTTGTTCACTTCCACAGCCTAGTATTTAGGTGCCTTGGCAGCGCGGAGTTCCATAGCGTTGTAATGCCTGCCGGTACGGCCGTCGGCCAGGTCGGTGAGTCCTGCTCGCCCAATCTGGATCTAGGCGTGGTCTGCCCAAACTGGCGTTCGGTAGCTGGCTAAAAAGGAGGGCCTTTCAAGCTTCGACCATGGGCGTTTATTTACCATAAAACGTTTTCAGATATTCTTAGTTAATTCCGCCAGACCTATCTCAATTATTGCAAGTTAAATTGAACTAGGTACTCAGCGTATATAGGGTGAGATATATTAAGCGATAAACTTTATACAAATATATTTACCTCGCATCCTCGTGTCAGGGCTATGAATAACAAAATGTAACACACTACTGAAATATTAATTGTGGCTGAATGATTAGTCTGGTCATCCAGCGTTATTATGGTAATCGCTTATTTCGGGAAATAAATGTGATTATATGGCTCAAATAAACAACATAGTTTTAATTTAGTACCTTTTTTGAAGTGTAAAAACAGATAAAGAATTGTATATCTCGTTGCAATGAATATCTCCGATTGGCATTTTTATTTTTATAGTCCGGGTATTTCAGGAAAGACTCGAAAATTCCTGGAAATGGGGTGCCTGATAAAAGTATAGACGCTTTTCCGTAACAAACTGCCGGTCACAGCGGACGTCAGGGATAGCAAATAAAAAGCACATACTAATAAGATAAAAAGTTCACTGGGTTGATAATAAATTATTCGCACTGTAGCTCTCGACTTTATTTTATTCAAAACTTTTCCAACCCCGCGGCTGCTATAATATATCGCATAGACAAAGCCTTCAGTGATTTGCAAATTATTTGCCGGATTATCCACTGTCCGTTGTCTATCCGATAAAATCAGTTCATGTGCACGCTCTATTGGCAGTCGCGGACGCGGACGGGCGCCTGGTTCTTTCTTTATGGTTGTCACTTGTGCTTCCTCCCTTGAACATGGGTATGCATTTTAATCCATTTTGTAGCAACAAAATATTTTCTTCAATTCGAAAACAGCTCGGATGTATTCTGGGATGACCTATTTTTTTTTTTTTTTTATCCTCGTAGAAAGGCCTTATGTTTCGTATATCTGTGTCCTTTTGAAATTTAGTTGCTATGATAAGACAATTTTAGTACGATTCTCTCTTTCTAATAATGACTGTTTGGCGATGCACGTTAGGCTAACCAAGTAGAAACTAGATAGAAATTATACTGAAAGGCCAAGCGGAGGTCTATATTTCGGCGCTAATGCATTGGGTTAGGACATTCGCGCTCGTATATTAACTTACGAAATATGCGACGTGAGACCTGCTTAGCCCGACCGCACAAGTTAGTTTCTTGTAGTTTGTTACATATCATATAATGAACATTAAAACTATAAAAACTATGTTTCCAAATGTATTGTCAAAGCCAGCTCATTGTCTAAATTAAGGAATAATGTTGAAATACTGAGGTCATAATAATATTTTATTTCGCGTTTTTCCTTTCTGCTAATCAAGTACACACATATAAAGTCGCTGTTAGTTTAGGAAGCTCAAGGTACCTTCAAGCGCATTATAGCGTAGAAATAGTGTCGATAATAAGCGACGCCCGGTGTTTCTTAAGCTGTCATTGAATTAGCTGTCATTATTATGCGCTACATTTTCATTCTTAAAATTTCTTCTGGAATCGTCGGATGAGGATCAGTGTTTCCCAAAATAAAGGTAATATAAAAAGTATGCGCGGCGGCACTTCGTAAATTATGAGAAAAACATATAAAATAGCGCAACAGAAAGACAAGGACAAGAAGTATACAGGACAGGCGCTATTTTGTATGTTTTACTAAGATGAACCAACTAGCCCAACAACGTACCCTAGTAAATTATGAGTTTCTCCCAGAATTTATGAGATGAAGTAGACACAATAACCACCACGGGCACACCACGAAAAATGGCATATCAGAAGTTGATAAATAATACCAGGTTTTGAGCTTTAAGAATGGTACATCGAATATCCCACCAGGAGAAGTGGTCCAGGCAAACGTTTCCGTTATTCCATCATCTCTACCACTCTCGTAGTAATTATGCTTTAAATAAAGGTGGCTATGCTTAAAATATCATTTTAGCTCAGAACCAATGGTGTAAATACATGTAGCAGGCTATCTTTAAGGTTAATACTGTGTTGAAGCATGGTAAAACTTGACTCTTTTCCTAGTCAAGAGAGTATTTTCTAACTATTATACTTACAACCAGAAGGGTACCATCATTAATGCGGACAGGCCAGTCGCCAGCTGCAGGTAGGACCAGCTGCTGAGGTAGTACGCTAGCAGTGGTAGAAGGAGCAGCGGAATCGTGTATCCAATCCCAAACCCGACGTTCATCATCATGCGGAACTTCGGAGGCATTATTTCCATCACTGAAAAAGTATTGGTCAGGGTGAAACAAAAACAAGCAAAAACAACGTACGTTCATTGGACCCGAAGAAGAAGACGGAGAAGAAGAAGAAAATAGATGGTGCTATGAAGAATTACCGAAGATAATTACGATATTTTACAAGGCGTCATTAGATACGCGTCAACGGAGACATGGGTACATTACCACAAATGCGATATTGGTGCCCACGGCATTGGCGCGTTTGGAGAACCATGGGCGGTTCTCCAAGAGCGTATGAAACGAGGATCGAGACGAACGTGTGCTCTGCTACTTTTTTATATGGCGTCCTTCTCAAACCCTCGTGTCCCTTGACTGACTTTGTTCATTTCTTTTAGTCACTGGACACGAAACCTTCTCGCCTAAGACATATTGTCAATATCGTGCCGGCGCCTTTGAAATCCTTTCGCTTCTGCTAGCCATGGCGCTATTGCTCCAGAAGAAGCTGGTGGTCCCCTGCCTGCGACCACGCTGGGTGTTGTGTTTTGCATCACAGTTTGTAGATGTCTGGTAGTGCGACGTAATGCACCGTGTTCAGTGTGCACTAGGTACCACAGTGGTTCGCGGATGTACTGTACACCACTCCTTGGTGTGCGGCTCCCACGAACGTTCAGATTGCTGATCTAGGTGACAGTTCAGCTTTGTATCGTGCTTAGTGACGATTGTTGTAATGACTTGCCTCTTCGGCTTTCACGTTGTGACGCTGTTTGTAGCCAGCAGTGCAATTCCAGTTGGGCGTCAGAAGTTGCGGTGATAAGGGAACTGTAGACGCCAGTCGTCGCACAAAAAGTTCCGCTGGCAAATAGCTCTTCTTCCCTGGCTTAGTCCTGTTAGCCAGGAGTGCTTGTGCAGGGTCCTTATACTTCTTAAGCAGGTTCTTCGCGGTTTGGACGGCTCTCTCTGCCTCGCTGTTGCTTTGGGGTAGTAGGGACTTTACGTTACGTGTCGCGCTCCCCACTTGTGTAAACCACTTGAATTCGCTTGATACGACTGTGGTCCACCGTCAGAACAAATGACCTCTGAGATTCCAAATCGTGTGAATATTTCACTAAGTGCTTTGATGACGCGTTTTGATGTCCTCTTCTGGAGCTCCTTAAGCTCAAAGAACTTGGAGAAGTAGTTCATAACTAACAAATAGTTTTTCCCATCCAACAAAAAAGACTCACACCGATATCTTTCCATGGACGTTCGGGCAGAGGTGTCTGAATTATGGGCTCTGCACCTTGTTGCCGGAACGTTTGGCAGGTAGGGCATAGGTTGATGTAGTTGTTGATCTGTTGACTGATGCCTGGCCACTGAATCGAGTCCCTCGCTCGGGCTCACCGTCTCACGATGTGCTGGCGCCCACTGTGCAGGCGTTCGAGAATGTCTTGCCTCAGTACAGGTGGAATAACAAAGTCCGTTGTTCCTCACCAGGAGCCCTTTAACTGTGGTGAGTTCTGATGCCACCACGCCATACTTCCTTACATCTGGCGGTAAGTTTGTGAGTACATGCCTCTTACTTTTGCAGTGAAGCATGATCCGTGCCGTGGTCAAGTTTTACTCAATTCGAACCAGAGTTTGTCGAGTATTTGAGATGGCGCAGGCAAGAGTTGCAGTGCTCAGAGCTCATACTATTTTATTTGGGATTCCTTCTTGTATGTGCGGCCTGCTTGGGATGCGCGGAGCTTCCGCGATAATACATCGGCGGTGCGAATCTTCTTTCCTGGTGTGTGAGATATTGTGGTCGTACACCAGAATTCTCATCCGCAAGCGCTAAAGACGTGGCGTCATCTACGCGTTTTCCCGCTCATTTTAATCCAAGCGACGATCAATTTAATCCCGGGGTCACTCAATTTAATCCAAGCGCCGTACAACTTAATCCAAGCGCCACACAATTTAATCCCGGGGTCAGTCAATTTAATCCACAATATATATATGCACTTATTGTGTTCAGTGGTCGTGTTTCGCTTGCACATTTGGTAACTTAGAGCGATTGTTTATACAATTTGAATTTTTGGGGGGCCACTGATAATTTCTTCACTAATGTGATTACTTTGAGTTACTGGTCCCACTATTGACGAGGCTTAATTGATATGTTGGTTACTCTTTTTTAGAGCGCAGCTCTTAGGCACCCGATTGCGGTTTAAGCGGCGTTGGCGTAACTACGCGGTTCATGATGGGTAAATTCCCCCGGTAAATTTAGTGGAAGAATTTCCCCGCTAAATCTAGCGGAAAATTTTCCCTGCTAAATCTAGCGGAAAAGTTTTCCAGATAGATTTATCGACAAATTTGCCCCGCAAAGTCTAGCGGAAAAGCTTCCCTTGAAATCTATCGGAAAAGTTTTCCCACTAAATTTAGCGAAAAATTTTCCCTGCTAAATCTAGCGGAAAATTTTCCCCGCTATATTTAGCGGTAAATTTCCCCCGCTAAATCTAGCAGAAAATTTTCCCAGCTAGATTTATCGGAAAATTTGCCCCGCAAAGTCTAGCGGAAAAGCTTCCCCGCTAAATCTAGCGGAAAATTTGTCCTGCTAAATCTAGCGGAACATTTTCCCCGCTAAATTTAGTGAAAAATTTTCTCCGCTAAATCTAGCGGAAAATTTTCTCCGCTAAATCTAGCGGAAAATTTCCCCCGATAAATTTAGCGGAAAATCTTCCCAGCTAGATTTAGCGGAAAATTTGTCCCGCTAAGTCTAGCGGAAAAATTTTCCCGCTAAATCTAACAGAAAATTTCCCCGCTATATTTAGCGGAAAATTTTCCCCGCTAAATCTAGCGGAAAATTTTCCCCGCTAAATCTAGCGGAAAATTTTCCCAGCTAGATTTATCGGAAACTTTGCCCTACAAAGTCTAGCGCGAAAGCTTCCCCGCTAAATCTAGCGGAAAATTTTTCCCGTTAAAGTTAGCGGAAAATTTTCTCTGCTAAATCTAGCGGAACATTTTCACCGCTTCACAGACGCTAATTTTCCGCTAAATCTGGCTGGGGAAACTTTTCCGTTAGATTTAGCGGGAAACATTTTCCGCTAGATTTAGCGGGAAACATTTTCCACTAGATTTAGCGGGGAAACTTTTCTGCTAGACTTTGCGGGGCATATTTTTCGCTAAATCTAGCTGGGAAAATTTTCCGCTAGATTTAGCGGGGAACAGTTACCGCTAGATTTAGCAGGAAAAAATTTTCCGCTAAATTTCGCGGGAAAAAGTTTACACTAGACTTAGCGGGGAAAATTTTCTGCTGGAGTTAGCGGGGAAAATTTTCCGCTAAATCCGGCTGGGAAAAATTTCCGCCAGATTTAGCGGAAAAAATTTCCACGAGATTTAGCGGGGAAACTTTTCCGCTAGTCTTTGCAGGGCAAAATTTTCGCTCAATCTTGTTGGGAAAATTTTCCGCTAGATTTAGCGGGGAAACCTTTCCGCTAGATTTAGCGACAGAAAAGTTTCCGCCAAAATTAGCGGGAACGTTTTACACTAGATTTAGCGGGAAAATTTTTCGCTAGATTTAGCGGGACACATTTTCAACAACATTTAGCGGGGAAACTTTTCCGCTAGACTCTGCGGGGCAAATTTTCCGCTAAATCTAGCTGGGAAAATTTTTTCGCTAGATTTAGCAGGGAAAATTTTCCGCAAGATTTAGCGGGGAAATTCTTCTGCTAAATTTAGCGGGGGAATTTACTCATCGTGCACCGCGTGGTTACGCCGACGGCGACAGCGACGCCGACGCCGCTTAAGCTGAAAACGGGTGCCTAAGAGCTGCGCTCTAAAAAGAGTAACCAACGCATCAATTAAGCCTCGTCAATAGTGGGACTAGTAACTCAAAGTAATCACCAGAAACCGGATTTTAGGCAAATGCCTATTTTTTTCTTTGCATTCGTATCGCCCCATTTCGATATATGAGCACGAATTGGAGGTCAAAGATGGCTTTTATGGTGGTTTTATAGTGCCTATAAATGCCTATTTTGGGTGTTGGTGCCTAAACTCCGATAAATGCCTATAAATGCCTTTTTTCTCAAATTGGCGCCTAAAACAGCACTATGTAGCGTCAAGTTTCGCTTTCGAGTGCAATTTGATACCTTTATTCATTCTACCTGGAAATATTTACTGTTCTGAATTTTATGGGTTTGAACCTGGTCCTCTTTTTAGCATTCCCCACCCCTCCTTCCTTTGCGCCGGTGCAACCGGAGCGGCGGCTTCTGCATGCTTTACGGCTGGCTTTCCCGCAGGACTTGGCGGTGGACGCACAACTCTACTCCCCAGGGGAACTATGATACCGTCAGGGGCAAAGGAAGTGATGGGGAAAAATTACGCCCACCTCCCCTCGCGGGAACCCTATTGTGATGCAACGCACCTGGGAGGTTCCATTGGTGTTTCCGCTGGGTTGATTCTCTGAAGGAACCGTCGCATCAAGCAATCGTCGAGTACTGCGAGAACCCGTCGTCACACGATGGGGAACGTGGCTAGAAGCTGTTGAGTACTACAACTGCTGCTTTTCGGACATCAAGGCCGTGATCAACGGCCTTCCAATTGACGAGAGTGTTGCAGTCACAAAGGCTCAAGCTGCCCTCTCCGTGAATAGCATTCCAGGAGACCTCGCGTACCTTTGCGCCAACTTCACGTTCTTAGCGGATTCTATCAAAAAACTTGAAAGTGCGGGAGAAACTCCGGTTACGAACGTTGCGCTAATTCTCCACGTACAGGAAAGAATCGCCACCGTTCGCGAAGGACCCGTCGCCGAAAAGGCACGTGCGAAGCTGCAATCGGTCTTGGACAAAAACAAGGGGTTGTCTGACCTTAAAGAAGCTTCAGACGTCCTTGCTGGTGAGCACTGTAGGATCCCAGTGTCAATTAACCCATCGAATCTTCCCAAGTATAAGTACGCACCAATCACATCTGTCGACGTCGAGCGTTCGTTCTCCGCGTACAAACTCATTCTCAGCGACAAGAAGCACAATTTTGAACTCGGAAATCTGGAGATGCTGGTAGTTAACTATTGTTTCTATAATTTTCATAGTGATTCTTAAACTAGGTTCTGCGTTCTGTGCAAACACAATTCTTAATATTTATATTTCGAATGAGCGTATGTGTATTTGGCAGTGTTGAAAGGTCTTGCCTGTATAATTAAGGTACCTGTAGAAAATTGCTAAAGTTTGTACGTAAGTTCTCACGTAACAACATGTTAATTTCTTAACAAACCTTGTCTATCTTGCATTTATTATTTTTTTGGTTTATTGTAATTTAATTGCGTCAGGCAGACATAACTTCGCGCTTTTATAAATCAGTATTACCATATTTCAAGTATTTTTTCTCCTGCCTGTTTCACAATATGCGACGCTTGAGTGACTTTCGCATCTGAACATGTATGTAAGCAATGCGCTTGTGAAATTAAGCCAATTAATCGCCATTAGCCCTGAGGTATTACGGGGCAATTCCACGTCTAATGTCAATGTATAGATTTTGTTATGAGAGAAAAATAAAGAATTGAATTGAATTGAATTGAACTGTTACTGCCATTGTGGCCTCATAGCAATGACATTTTTGTATTTCCTGTCGTGCTTACAGTTCGCTCACGTCTTCACTTGAAATTATTAGCATTTATCTAAAAATTTATTGGGCCTATTTTATTCTTTTTAGTGCCTAAAACGTTGTTTTTGCCGCGTATTTTTGGCGCCTAAAACGTGCTTTTTAGTGCCTAAAAATCCGGCCTCTAGTAATCACATTAGTGATCAAATTCTGAATTGCCCCCCAAAAATCTAATTGTATAAACAATTGTTCTAAGTTACCAAATGTGTAAGCGGAGCACGACCACTGAACACAATAAGTGCATATATATATTGTGGATTAAATTGACTGACCGCGGGATTAAATTGTGTGGCGCTTGGATTAAATTGTATGGCGCTTGGATTAAATTGAGTGACCCCAGGATTAAATTGGTCGTCGCTTGGATTAAAATGAGCGGGAAAACCTGTATTATTGTCTTTTGGTTGAGAACAATGGTACCAGCAGTTCGTGGTTCGTTTCAACGCGAAATCTCAGTCCTTGTAGGTGCATTCGCAAGTGTTCGCACGCCCAAGTGAGAGCGAGCGCCTTTTTTGCTACCTGAGCCTATAATTGTCCAGTTTCCGTCATGGTCGAGAAGCGTAAGCCATATAAATCTTTTCACATCTTGGTTTCTTCTGGCATACATACCGAAGTTCGTACGATGACGCATCTGATGAAAGGGTGATCTGCCCATGAGGGTTGTTGTAAGCGGGGACTGGAGTTGAGCGAAGTAAGGTCTTGATTTGTTGAAAGGCTCTCTCTCTTGTGATTCACCCCAATACCAACTTGCGTCGTTGTGTAGTAAGTCCCTCAGCCGCCTGGTTTTTTGTGTCATCATCCGTACAAATTTCTCCAGATGGTTGACTATTCCTAGAAAGGAATTCATCACCTTCAGGTTTTCAGGTGCTGGCAAGTTGGTCAGAGCTGCTGTTTTCTCTGGGTCAGCTGTGATGCCTGCGCTGTCCAGGATGTGTCCCGAGAACTTAAATTTGTTTGAAAATTGACATTTGTTATTTATTAGGGTGACTCCTGCGTTGCTTAGATATTGGAGTACCTGCTTGAGGTTCCTGTTCTTGCCTGTCAGTCCCGAATGCCAGTATGTCGTCCATGTGACGTACTTAACCTGCTATTCTTTCAAGAATCCTGAGCGTGCTTTTGGAAAACAATAAGGCGCCGTTGAAATACCAAATGACAGTCGGTGGAACTGCAAGCGTCCTACCGGCGTGATGAAGGTTTTCAGTTCCTGGGATTCGGGTGCCAAGGGAATCTGCCAGTAACCCGCGTTTGCGTCCAGCTTGCTGAAAATGCGCGCTCCAGCGAGCTTTGCCAAGTTCTCTCCAACTGTAGGCATCCTGATACACTCCTGAATAACCTGGTTGTTGAGCTGTGCGTAGTCGCAGTCGCCGTGCAGGAAGCGCGTCGAAGGGTTGAACCGCTGGACATCCCAGTAATGTGCAGTGGAGACCTTCGGCAACAAAAATTTCTTCTGGGTCCTTTTGTTGTTTCATTGTATTGACGAAATGAACTGTCCAAGTGTGGAAAGGCGTCATCTTCCTGCCATGAGAAGTTTCTTGCTGGAAACCGTCAGAGTACCCTTGACATGTTCATCGTATTCTGTTGCTGGAATCACCGTGACATCTGAACCGGTGCCGACCTTGAATGTCAGCACCTTTTGTTCACTTTTGACTCTTACAATCCATGGTTGTCCATTTGTTGATTGGAGCACCCGTCTCATGAATAGCTCTTCCACGGTAGAGTGTCTTTCCTCCCGTAGTTGCTTGAGCGTGCGTGTGTTGGACGGTGTCTTGACATGCAAACCGCCTGAAAATGGCCACCTTTTTGCATCCATTGCCTTTATTCCCGTAGCTAGGCATTGCACCTTGCTGTTTCAGGGTGCTGCCACACCATCTGCAGGACCTCGATGTGTTTGAAGCTGTCGGTAGCTTTGGATGTTTGCGGTGTGGTGCACAATAACGGCCTTCTCAATTATGAACTTCGTCGACGTCGGCACGCCCTGCTGACGTCGATGTTGCGGAGTTACGAGTCGCTGCAATCACCCCTTGTTGCGTTAGTCTTGCGTCGAGTTAAAGCTTTTCACTCAACTTCTTGTCTAGAAGGCCTACGACTAGCCGATCACTGATCAGGTCTTCCCTGAGGCTTCGTTAGTCGCAGTTGCCTGCCATTCTGTGCAATGAATGCTTCTGCTGTTTAGTACGCCACTTCTTTTCTCATATTAAACTTTGGCCGTTCAAATATAAAGTTTGTATGAGGAATGAAGTGGGCTTCAAACTTTTCTTTAACTGTGTCGTAGACATTTAGCTCGTCAGCTGACAGTTTGAGCGAAAATAAAACGTCCTCGGCCTCTGGTCCTATAGCGTTGAGAAATGTGTTCACCTGGGTCGTTTGGCTACGTATATGGAGCCCGGAGATCATGCGATAGCGTTCCCATCCTGCGATCCACCTCTTTGCTTAGGCCTTTGAAGTCGAGCTTCTCCGTAAGTTCAACGGCAAATCGGTTGCTGAACGGAGCCCGTCCCGCTGGTGCCACGCCATCTCCCACTTGAAATGGCCCGGACTGGTTTTGTCCCGTCGGTAACCGACCCCAGGTGTCCTCCAGGTCTCGTGGTCGACCACTTCAGAGCTGCCACCCTGTCGTGTACCGTGGGCGACCTCCAAGAGCGCATAAGACGAGGATCGAGAGGAGGGTGTGTTCTGATTCTTTTTTTATATCGCGTCTCTCTCAAACACTTTTGTCCCGTGACTGACTTAGTTCACTTGTTTCAGTCGCTGGACACAAATACTTCATATCTAGAAAGTTTATATCTCAGAAAAACATAAAAAAACATGTTTTATTTAATATAATATGGTAGGAACACAGTGTTTAAAGTAACATGACATTGCCCACGCTTCATCTCTAAAATGTTTTAATAGAAGTTAAACACCGTAAGGTAACTCATGCCAAGGGGTTAAGTGTTCAGATCCTGAAGATTTGTTAAACGGAGTAGATAATTACAGTTTTGATGACTGCAATAGCATCCTTAGAGGCGTAAAAGAAATATGGTAAAAACGTTTGGAACCCCTGGTAGGCGCAATATTAATTAGAACATCAAGACCCAGCACTGGTTATAAATTTTAGTATACGAAAAAAATGACGCAAATGGGATAAGGACAAGCAATGATTATATGACAAGTCAAGTATTGTACGTTGCTAAATGTTTGGTATAGTGACATTTTGGATCTATGTTTTGCTTCGAGATAATTCACAACTCTTCATGAGTCTTTTAAGGTTTAATGATTTTGATAGAATCCTGTTTCTCACGAAGTTATTTGATTTTCTTTTTCATCAAAGAAGTATAACTGCTGGATGTTTTCTACTCCAGCTGACATACGTACACATGATTGAAAGAGTGTAGGATCAAAATTTTTTTCTGTCGCACATTAGAACCCTATTGTTTTCTTATGAATGAAGAGGGGATATGTTTTGTCCTTCATAAAATGTCAATACACCATTAGTAATTAGTCTTCACGAGAAAGTGACTACATATTTGCTACGGTCTAAATAGCATCAACAAATTAGTCACTTTAGCTCAGTATTGCAGCGCGGCGTCCTCATCATCCCAAAGCATTAGCGTAGCAAAATTATTGCCTGAGAAGATAGATCTTTTCACTTACACGGCTGCTCGAAGCCTGTAAAACAAAAGCTCTGCTTTCAAAACCCAAGAATAATGGGGCTTACCCCGATTTCTTCCCATTTTTATATAAAAGAGAATTTTACCAGTGAACAGTCGTGTATTACTACTTCGTAAAGCACGTAATGCACTTTTAAGGGCACCAGCTTAGAGGTTGTGTAGCACTGTCTAAATATCTCATGTACGTCGCGAAGCATTGTCTTGCTATCACGAAGAAAGAAGTGCCTTGATCAGTATGTTTATATGCTTTCGTTTTGGTTTTTTTTTTTCACAGTGGGGATAGTTTTTGTTTAATAGAACTTGAGTGCTGAGTATGTAATTTTGGTAAAACGACGCTAGTTGAATCTGAGCAGATGGGTTGAGTTAAACCAGAACACCTGATCTATAGAGAATCGCATGAATAAGAAGAATAATAGTATTATTTTTAAAAAGTGGACCCTTTTGGAGGCACCTTAAAAAGTCTGCGCCAGGGGCAGTACGTTGTGGCCACAGGCAACGTTGACCCAGGACGAAGCGAACGCGCAAGTAGACACAGCTCGTCAGATTACGGGCGCAAGCGATATCTTACACAAAGAAACAGTGGTGGCTTGGCAACCGGCAATCCCAGCGGCGAGCAGGAAGCGTCCGGCGTTGAACCACGCGATTCCAGGGGCAAGGGAAGACAGCGACCCGAAGACGAATACAACCAGGACACAGGTGAAGAAGGTCGGCTTTCGGCCGAAGCTGGGAATCACAGCATGGAAGATAATAGAAAGCTTTAATATTGCCTAAAGAAGCAAACGCCAGAACTGTGCTTTTGCGTTAGCGTTGCGTGCTCCTCGTAACGCAGGCGCGTCGTCAACATGCGCCAATCCGAGGCCCCAGTTCTGGCTCTGCACACGCGCAGCGTTGAACTCACAACACTAACGCAAACGCACCATGCTTGCCTTCCCTCGTATTCATAATACTAAAACTCACTATTGACGCCCATATTAGACAGCTTTATCATACCGTTCGCCAAAGCTTTGTGCACGCAAAGAAATAGCGTCGTCGCCACTGCGCACCGGGTGAACCGAAACCGCGTCTTTAATTGACGCACGGCTACGACGCTATTTTTTGCTGTGTACACAAAGCTTTGGCGCACGATATTCTAAAATTCTCTATTCTTCTTATTTATTCAAATATAGGTAATCTGCGCTGGCTTTATATAAGTACACTCTAAGCCAGCTAATTTAGATTAAAGTGCCTTACATAAAAAGGGGTACTTAATGTTTTTTGTAGTATCTTTTACAAAATCTTATTAAGTCCCGTCATCGCCTCTCACGCACCTGCCTTGTCTTAGTAATCATTCACTGCTTCATTTTGTTTTAAATGTTCCAGGGTCCCGCTCTCTAGTGCAAATGAAACAGAAATTCGACTATGCTAGAACTGGATTTGCAGCCATTAATCCTGAATTGAGTACTTTTTTAAGTGATTAAGAGTGGAATTGTTCCAAGCATTCAGATAACAAAATATCTGGATGTTTACAAAAATAAAAAAGAACAACTTTGCTTTCCTTACGAATAGTTTTGTTCCTGTACGGACAGTACGAAGCTGCACTCTTTCCCTATGGTTGAACCGGATGCTCAGGAGACTCAAAAAAAAAAAAAAAAAAGAATGTTTCGTTGCAGAAAAGTTATCTGCGTTTCCCAATCAAGACCACCGTTGGGCAGCATATTACTCTGCTGCAGAAATATAGAAAACGTTGATTGCTAAGGCCAAGCTCCGTTTTTTTATAATGCACCCTACCGACCATGTTGCGCAACAACCGTCAACGATTTTGGGACATTATAAACCCTTCTGAATGACCTGACGTATTGCTAAACAACGATGATGGTGAAATTGTTCGTAGTTCGTGATGATGGCAAAATCGCAGCGGCGAGTCAGTGTGCATCTGTGGTAAACGAATCATACGCATTCATCTTCAAATTTAACCAATGCTTCCTATTTAGATGTTCCTCAAGAAATTTTGTGCTATTAGTTCTATTGACATAGAATGTGCCAGTATCGTTAATATCATCGCCAACCTTAAGCTATCGTCATCGATTGGAACTGATAATGCTAACTCGATGTTTCTAAAAAAAACCACTACGTATTTCTCTGTTATTCTAACAAAACGATTTCGTCAATCACTCAATCTCGGCATCCTTCCAGAAGACTGGAAGGTGAAGAGAATGATTCCCATCCATAGAGGAGGGGGACAAATCCAGCCCAAGTAATTTTCGACCAATCTTCTTAACAAGTGTCCTTTGCGAAATTCTTTAACCTATAATCTATTCTCATCCGGTTAACTTTTTAGTTTACATTTATTCTTTTCTGCTGCCCAACATGGCTTAAGAAAACTATTCTCATGAAAAACCCAGCTATTAACACTTACTCATAACATTCAATCATCCCTTGCTCGTTCATTTCCTGTTGACTGCATCTTTTTGGATTTCTCTAAAGCATTTGAAAATGTTTCATAAAGGCTCGTATTGTACAGACTCAGTACCCTTAACACTGGCACTGGTGTTTTAACTTAGATCAACTCGTTTTTAAGTAACCGTTCTTAATTTGTTCACGTTAATGATACTAACTCGTGCTCCACTCCTCTGACTTCTGGTGTCCCTCACGTTTCAGTACTTGGCCCACTTTTGTTTTTGGCATATTTTAACAACCTCCCTTCACATACCTCCTCCCTAGTTGGTGTCTTCACAGACGGCTGTGTCATCTATTTTGAGGTAACTAAAGATTCATATGTTCTTTCACTCCAATTTGATCTTGACATTGTTTACCGTAGGCGGGATCAATGACAATTGAAACTAAATATTTACGTGTGCAGGTTCATCAAAGTATCACGTCCAAATAACACCTGCCCCTCGTGCCACATCAAAACTGTTGCACTGGAATCTGTTGCTCCATATAATTATTTTGGTGTTTATATCGCCAACAACCTCTCATGGAACATTCACACTGAATACATAATTAAAAATGCTAACCGCATGTTAGGCTTCCCGAAAAATAACTCCTCGCTACCCCACAGTCCTTAAAACTAATTTTGGAACATTCACATTGATTATATAATTAAAAATACTAACCTATGCTAGGCACCCTGAAAAGGAACTTCTCACTAGCAACACTGTCCTTCAAACTACTCATGCGCAAAACATTTGTTCGCCGTAGCTTGAGTATTCTTCTATCTGGGACCCCGGCGCAATGCTTTAAGCATCGCTAGAATCCGCTCAAAACCGCTCTGTTCTATTCCTACTACAAAACTATCATCGCACATCCAGAGTAACAGCAATGAAAACCAACCTCAGCGTGCCTGACGTCTCCCTCTGTAGAAAACATATCTCGCCTGTGTTTATTTCATAAGATCTACCACCAAAATCAAAGCCTCCGTCAGCATGTATGAAAACAACCATCTTACGTCTCATCGCGTGTTCATCATCAAAATAAAGTTGGCATCCCCCACTCTCGCACATCACACTTTAATCGGTCTTTCGTACTCATGACATTGCTGAACTCAAATCGACTTCCCGCACTGATTGCCAGAATAGCCGAGAGCGCAGTATTCAAAGCTGCACTTTGCGAATATACTTTTGAGTGTGGTTAACAAGGGTTTGTTTCGGTTAACAATGTTCCGTTTGAATTTTATGCTTAAATGCCTAATTACTGTTTATACTTGTGTGCAGTTAGGCGTGTTTTTCCACTCCCCTCTATATTGCCTTTGGGCCCTGAAGGAAGAAATAAATAATTTATTAACCAGTGGTGTATTGTAAAACTTTTAGTGTAATTTCCGAAAACAAATAAAAAAGTAGTGAACCCAACTCCACAAATTATTCGGTTATTAACAACACCAAAACAAAAAATCCTCTGTCGTAAAAAAAAAGAAAGAAGAAATATTCAGGTTATATTGTTCTACTTAGAATTCCACCCACGAAACACTAGAATTAGTGTGTTCCGATCACTCTGAAAAATCGGCACCCTTAGCAAAAAAAAAAAAAAGCTTTTAGCAAGATCATTATTGTGTACAAAAGTCCTTAAAGGCAGGAGTTGCAAAAGAAACTGCGCCATTTTGAAACTTCAGTACGACACAATAACTTAATAAGAAAGATAGTGTTGTGCCTCACAAACCAGTCAGACATTTCTCCAAAACCAAGGACTCCAACAAGCGCTCCAGCCATGACGATGCTCTGCGCCAGGGATCGGTGCCAGCCTCGGCTACATACGAGATCCCACTGCAAAGAATATTACAATAGCAATACTAACTAATTAATTGTTTATGTACACAATGCTAGGCCTGTAGAAGCAGGAAGTCTTGATGTGGAGATACAAACTTGTAACATTGAAAAGATTGTAAATTATTGCATATTGTAAAGAGACTGTTTGTCCCATACAATGGAAAATGTACGAGGAAGGGTACGCTCGAATTAAGCAAATTTATTAAAAGAACACATCCATATATGGTAACGCCAAATCGCCGATTCAAATTTGTCCCGTGGAAGAAGAGTCCTGACTGCTCTACTTGCAGGGAAGGATAAAATAAAGAGGGGTGTCTTTTTCAGAGAGCAGACACATGAATATTCGCAGAGCTTAGCAGCGTAGGGCCACCAATTTTTCAATGAATTACTTTGTGTAGAAATAAGGTAAATTCGAGTCTACACGAGGATCAAATGACTAAACATGCCTTTCCAAGAATGTAATCGCAGTCACAATTACACCTGCACAAGATATAAAACGGTTTTGTACCGATTCTATTTGAGGCGCATCACAATTCGTCACCGATTTCCATACCACGCTACTGACCGACATTTTGCACGTACCATGCAGAAAAACGACACTAACTGCACAACGATTTGTAAAGTCCCATGTCAAACAAGGTAAAGGTACCAACGTTCAAATGAAAAAGCTGGCAATCCGTGAACATAATAAAAAAAAAGGTGTTTATCAAGCCAGATAAAAAAGTCACGAATCGCTGCAACGCGTGCGATTTAGCAAACCTGAGAGAGTATAATTAAGTATAATATCCGTTTCACTTCACGTCGTACTGTGGCCTGCGCGGCAATTCGATGTATCCAATTCAACAGTACTAAAATATCATGGTCTCAATATTCGCGCCCTATTGCTCTGCCCGATTACACCGATCTCGCAGAGTATGCGCCCCAGTGCTGGGCTTTTTTTTTGTGCGTAGTTTGTTGAGCCGGCAATATCAAAATCAGAAACTGAAGGAGTGCCGCGACGATGCACTTTTAGAGTTCCCCGATAGGTTGGATTTGAAGTCGGCAAGCTGGCCGACATGCAGCCTCTGTCGGTTATGAAGGTACTTTTTGCAATCGAATCAGCGATCTTGGTCGGCGTGGATGGCGAGCGGGCACTGCTTCAGCTATCACCAAAACCGTCTTTATCAACCGTATTTGGATGGCCGGCAGTGAGAAGCAAAAACAGGAGCAGATTGCCCGCCATTATTTGTTTTCACCATCGTTTGGATGAGGCGCTCGTCGACGACGTTCTACCAGTCTCCGCTGAGCATCGAGGAGCACGTGATATTGGCCGGGGCTACTTAAGCGCGCAGTACTCTGGCTTCGTGGGATCTGGAGCCGGCGCGCTGGTCGACATGCAGCTTAAACCTTTGTTGGTTACACAGGTTAGTGCCAATTTGACTGCACGGTCTGCTGTGGCCTTTGCCCGCCTCGCAAATGACAAATGCTAGTAATCATCGTCGCGAACGAATGTGCGAGCGCTTGTCTCGTAAACCTTTCCACCTTTTTGCAAATCGAGTGTTGGACGGATTCTTCTTTTGTTACTTTCGGGCGATGTAGATCTCAATCCTGGCCCTTTCACTGAGAAAGAAATGTAAGTTCTCAGAGGTTTTACAAACTGGTCAGGCATCAATCATGACTAAGTTAGCAACTATCGATACCATGGCGGAGGTAAATGGTAGGCTTTGGTTAACCAAGGGATGGGTAGAAACTATAAATAGTGTCGGAACACACAAATATTATAAGATTGCTTGATCAACAAATATCCGACTTGCGAAGGAAAAACGTTGACCTCGAAAACAGAAGTCGAAGGCAGAATCTTTTATTTTTATGGAATAGACGACAAAAATTACTTGAAAACGGGGATTCAGTCAGAAAGCTTGGTTAAAAAATATTTGTAAAGCTAACCTGGGGATCAATATGAAATTGGAACAAAGGGCACAGCGTGTTGGTCGATACAGTGATAAGTTAAAAACGGCAATTGTTGTAATTTATTTTTCATGGAAGATACTGGGCGTTCTCATAAGTGCTAACAAGTTTAAGGAGTCATCCTACAGTGTGAATTACAATTATTCACCCGATACCTGATATATGCGGAAACGTCTGTGGGAATATGGAGAAGCTAAAAGAAGCAGCCAGCAATAACAAGGTCAAGCTAAACTTTGATAAAGTCGTTATTAACGGAAAGATATTCATGAGGAACAAAGGGAATAAAAGGAGGTTGTTTCATTTCAGAAACAATGACGCCCTGGGAAGGGAAAGAACGTATATGCAGTGACCTCGTTGCTGTTGTAGTAAACTGCAGAAGCATACTACAAAAACTGGATGGATGAATTCCCTGGTCTGATAGATACTGTTCATGGCTGACATAGTATTTGGCGCCGAATCGTGGCTGAACCTGTCTATCGCGGATAGTGGAGTGTTCCCAAAATAAATCATTGCTTATCAGAAGGACAGGCCCCGCCAGGTAAAGGGGTGCGTTTGCTAATTCACTCTTCTCTTAAGTCAGCTATGTTACATCTTGATATCGACAATGTTAAACTAATTTGGTGCTCAGTTACTCCATCTGATACCTCGTGGTATCAGGTTACTCTAGGGGACAATCTACCAACCGCCGAATTCAGATCTAAAAACGTTAGTCATTGTTTGACATTGTTTCGGATTCATCCCGGCAGCCTATCTTGTTAGCGGAATACTTTAACTTACCTGATTTAGAATCGAATGAAGACGATTGTGCATGCAAATCTGGTAATCGCATCATTGAGAAATACAAAAAATTGAAGACGTTTACAAATCTCTGTTATGCGAAATTATAGCGCAGCTCTTGAGGAGGAACAGGGGAGGGTGCGGAGGGAGGATATGCCAATCCTTCTCCTCCTCCGTACCGGCCCCTCCTCCTGTCCTCCTCCCCTCCTCCACCTCTCCCCTGCTACTCTTCTACTCCCCCTCCTTCTTTCCTCCTCCTCTCCTCCTCTCACTGAATATGTTCATGGGCGTGACACGAAGTCACGTGACGCCATTTTCCCAGCTAAATTTAACGGGGAAACTGAATTGGTGGAGGTCACGTGACGTCAATTTTCCCGCTGAATTTAGCAAGGAAACGTAACCCGCTAAATTTAGCTGGGGAATTGACGTCGCGTGACCTCCACCAAATCAGTTTCTCCGCTAAATTTAGCTGGAAATATTACGTCACATGACTTCGTGTCACGTTACCCATGAACATATTCAGTTTCTCCGCTAGATTTCGCGGGAATATTGATGTCAAGTGACCTCAACGTCAATTCAATTTCCCGCTCAATTTAGAGGGGCGGTTACGCCAACCGCGACGCCGACGCCAACGGCGACGCCGACGCTGACGCCGACGCCGCGAAACGCAGAAATGGGCGCCTAGGAGCTGCGCTATAAAACATGGTAGACACTTTTGGACTATTGCAATATGTAAATTCTCCAGGTAAGGCAATATGTAAATTTTCGAGGTAAGGTAACTATGAACCAACTAGCTCAGCTCAAGCCTGTTACAGAAAAATTTCCGATTCGGAATGGTAACATTTTAGACCATCTGTTTTGCACTTCCCCTAAAAATATTAGTACGGTTGAAATTACACCAGGAGTCAGTGTCATCACGCTGTCGTTCCAAACATAAAAAAACAAAAAAACTTGAACCGATCAACGTCGCGAACATCAAGAAGATTTTTTCTTTGAAAAGGGTGATTATTCTAGTATCGCTCAAGAACGGCTCGACCACTTGCCGTTTTTTTTTTAATGTCTTTCTGCGGGTTATGACATCCATTAATTATGGAGGGTGTTTAAAAACAAACTGCTCGACACTTACGTACAAGTATGTTCCAAGCATAGATTCTACCAGAACCAAAAAGTAAGAAAACCTTCGGTGAATTCGCGTATTATTGGAGTAACCAAAAAAGGAAATACAGAATATAATAAATATATAAAACTAATAGTAAACATCACCTAAAGCATAAGATAGCTATAAAAACTCCAAAGGAGGAATACTTCAAGGCACTCGACGACAAAATGAAAACTAATCCCAAATATTTGGAAGTTATTAAGAGGATACGAATAAGATTTTGTAGTAAAAAAAAAGATTGTTCCTAATCAGCAACTTGCTATTGTTGTTACGGAAAAGGTAAAGTGGTAATGTAAAGTTGACTTGTCTACCAACTTCCGCCTAATGCTAGCTTATTTTATAATGTTGTCTCGTACCACGTGACGCGAGATATGGCAGAAGCCACCCTGCCACTCGCAGGGAGTCCTATTTCACAATATGTAGAATAAATATATGCACCTCTAATCCCCAGAGAATTAATATACGAGGGTTCACACTCATCACTATTTCAAGAAGAAACTTTCTTAACTAAAAAAAAGTGTACTCTTTGAAGCAAAATAGGTTAAAATATTTTTTTCTGCCCTGCCGTTTTTGCAAACTTCTTGCTGTGGCTTATTCCGTCGTGCTCTGGCGTTAAATAGCCTTGGTGGTTTTTTGTTGTGCTGTTTGAAACCAACATAAAGAAGAAAAAAAACGAACGAAAAGATACGAAAAAAAATTTTCATTTGAAGATCTATTTTAGAACAAATTTGAGTTTAAGTGATGCATTCCTCACCGCATTGACGATTGTGCTTTCGTAAACCGACGTGTCGTACTCCCAACCGGTGCACGCAGTCGTCACGTTCCTGTCCACGGTGAGTGTGCCGTTGACGACGGACACCAGGAACATCTCGCACTTTGCAAACGAACCATCTTCTGCCACAGGAATGGCCAGTGACTTCCACTCGTCGGCGCTGAGGTTGGCCCATGCCGCGTCGGGTGGCCGTGCGCACCAGTGGCCCATATCAGGAGCGATCATAGGCGTCAGCATGTTCGTCCAGGCCGTGGGAAAGGCCCTTAGCACGACCAGAAACACTGTGAGGGCGTGGTAGGTGCCAAACTTGCCAAGAATGTCCACGATGTCCACCATTTTGGAAACAGGTTAGGCTGCGAGTGAAGTTAGGGTTGCAGGGTGAGTGGTGTTGTAGGGATGATCGAGTGTACTAGTGAAACGAGAAACTTTTCATCTAGAAAACACACAAAAGTATTGGAGCTATCCCCAGAATATCACCATCCCCCTTCTGGGAAATTTTAGTTGTGAGGGTATTCATCTGATTATGATGCCCAGAATATCTCTAAGGAGAAGGCTTTAAGAGATGCCACAGCAAGTTAACGTTGTGAGGACATCTCCACATTAAGAACTTTTACGAGCTTAGGGTAGAAAAACGTTGTTGCAGAGACGTACACCTGGGTCGTTTTATGCCAAACGACCCAGATAAGGCGCACGACCCTTTATGATTAAACAAAATCCATGGCTTTGTACCCAGAGATCCGTAAATGTTCCTAAGAAAACTTTGCCGGAAAAAAAGATTGTTATGGCGTGAGCGTGGTGTTAACTTTTAAAATTAGCGTAAAAGTTGGCTGCATAATTCTGTGGCAAGCCCTATAACGGAGAGAGCACGAAAGATGTTCCGTTTTGCAAACAACCCAGAAATCGTGATGGTATGCACTGCACATAAGAGAAATCACTCTAACCTACTCGAACGGTGCGGGAACATAAAAGTCAGGTCTCTGATGACACAAGGCACAAGCCACTATTGTATCCAAACCGGCATATTCAACTCCAAAAACTTTATTTCGCTCTGGTTTAGGGACAGCAAGATGTGAATCAGATCAACTGCAGATAAATTAATGCATTATTACAACTTTAGCTGGAATAGATGCCACATCAATATAGAACGAACAGCCTACAGCTTAAGATATTTTTAATGGTGTAGTTGATTTGCGGAAGGCATGAATAGACCCCTTCGAAAGACTGCCCTCATGGCGGACTAAAACAGCAATGTCACGGCACAGTTGCACAGTTTATATGTTGGCTTGGATTAGGAGGCAAAAACACGCCCACAGAAAAAGCGGATGAGCGCAGTGACTTTGCAATTTTTACACTGTTTGATTGGCTAATCGACTCCTAGAGTTGACCATGCTCCGACCTTCGCTATCTTGTGGAATGACTTGCTCGTTCCGCGATGTCAGTTGTTCCGCCATTTACAGTGGTACCGACCTTTTAATAATCGCCGCGTAACTTTCGAAAGGGGTCCATGAACCGCTCCAACTAAACAGAGCCGCTGACACATTATCGATGAGCAAACATGACGCCACTATCCTCCTAGTTTAGAAAATAAAATAAAAAATAATTTTATACTTCCCTTACTCGCATTCGCATTAAGCGCAAAATGACTTGCCTGTGTCGAGTGAGCTGCTTCATCCACCGATATGGCACCGTGCTTGGACAAAAAATAAGCGTTCTTGGGCAGACTCTCGATTGCCACTAGCCATTGGTCGTTTAAAACAATACCCCTTGTTCGTCTGCCCTTTCTTACTGTCGGTCCTGCCGAATTCCTTACAAAACGCCAGTAGAGATCTCACTCCGTCGTTATTGCGCTTCTTAAATAGAAGAACCCCTCAAGTGATGCCGACTTCGTTAGTTATCAAGTTTTGGAGTGAGGAGAGCTGCCATCACTACAAAGGGCACAACAAACCTGCTGATAAAAATTACGACTTTGAACGGGAGGAAAACAAGTACACAGGAAAATAAACCGGAAAGCACGGGGACGCTTAAGTGACATCAACAAACACCTGACGGGCTGAGCTTTGCCCGTCGCCTCGTGTAAGCAAGCGGAGATGACTGCCGTCGCCATCACAACAGCCATCTGGGGATGCAAAGCCAGAGGCAGACGGCAAGGGCGAACCGGAAACCGAGTGGTATCGTTAACGTCGACTGGAGGAGAAGGAAAATGACGACGGAGACTCCGAGAGAGATGGACAAGGGAGCGCAACGACCACTGATGCGAAATTAACCATCTCCGTTTAAAAGTGAAATTGTGTTGTGTTTTAGTTTTACCAAAAAAGGGCAAAATTAACGTTGTGAATAAATTACCGAACGCCTGCTATGCAATGGCGGCACGTACGATTATCACACACTACCCTACTAAAGAAAGTGTATGAATCTATGTAAGAACCGATATTAAATATCCGAAAACTAATATGCTACATAAAAAAGTGATACGAAATACCCAAAAACTGATATGCGACATATAAAAACTGATATGCAACATATGCCAACTCGAACGAAGCATACAAGTTCTACTTTGATTTTAATGATAATTTATATGATATTCTTATCAGAATTTAAAATATCATATGCTGCCTAAATGAGAACTGAAATGACCTCAACATCATGCATTTATTTTTAAGTAATATCTGCTTTTCATACTCCTCCTGTTTTTCCTACTTCTCCTACTTGTGTGTCTTTTGCACTATATTTGTGTTAATATACTTGGCTGCTAGCCCATCACTATATTTCAATACATAATTTCAGTCATATCAGTTCTTACACGTTTTCATGTCATATAAGGCCTGATATGTTTATTGAACACATTTTCATATCATAACTTAATGACATGAAAATGTGTCCAATAAACATATTAGAAATAAATTCATATAATTTTTTAGTATACGACGCGCCTTGCGGCCAGGCAAACACGTGGCTTGGAACCGCAGCGGAGCGGCTCGATTTATTGCCTTTCAAATAATAAAGCATGAACGTCTACTTTTTACTAAGAGATTCATCCCCTGAGCTGTTATAAATACTCTCAGGGGTATAGCATTACTGAAAGCAATCAACATGCTGGGAATACTATTTATTGCTTATGTGATCAACGAGAAAATATGTACCTTCAAAACGACCATTATAAAAAAACGGAAATGCAGAGCTCAGAAATAGTTTTCGGGTGTGACGTTGTATTCATGTTTGTTGCGTCGTGTATGTGTATGCGCTCAATGAGTATTTTCAGCTGATGCTAGCGGTATGCGTAATGTATCTACATGTGTGTGTAATAAAGGTGGCGGCAATCAGTTGATCGAGCGACGTTTCACCGACACGCGACGTTTCATCGACAGATTGTCTTATCGACAAATCATTTAAATCGACAATTCAGATTAGATTTTATTTTGTGATAGGCTGCATGAGCCCTACAAAAAAGTTATATGAATCGATAAAATAACTAATTGAAAACATCCAAAAACTGATATGCGCCATATTAATCTGAAAGTAAATATAAAAAAAAAAAAATGCAACATATGAAACTGATATGAAATACCGAAAACCTGATATGTACATATAAGAACTGATATGCAACATACGCTAACTGATATGCAGCATTCAAGTTCATATGTTATATCAGAAATAAATTCATGAAATTGTTTTCAGTATACGACGTGCCGCGCGGGGAAGCAAGCGCGTGGCTTGGAACCGCAGTGGAGCGGCTTTATTTATTAACTTTTAAATAATTACTGCATGAGCGTTTACTTTTTGGTAAATAATTCCTCCCCTGAGCCGTTTAAAATACTCTCAGAGGTATGACATCACTGAAAGAAAATCAACATGCTGGGAGTAATATTTATTGCTTAGGTGGTCACCGAGAAAAATGATACCTTCAAAACGACTAGTATAAAAGGCGGAAGCGCAGAGCTCATAAGTAGTTACCGGCCGTGCTGTTGTTTTCATGTTTTTTGTTCCGTGGATGTGTATGCGAAGAGGATAATATTGTAGGCCTTGACAATTTTTGGCAATGTTGGTTTGACACACGGCGTCAGCCGAGTCGAACTTTGACCTGCCTCAAGAATCGTCGGGCATCGGAGGATACGAGTTTTTTAGGGCTCGATGCCCGAGACGAAATGAACGTCCAAGAACGTCTAGTGAAAATATTTCAACCATCAATTGTCAGCAATGTTGAAAGAAACGTACTCGATCAATTCTCTTCAAATCCGTGTCTAACTGTTGAAACGACAAAGCACAGCCCTCGCCACTTCTAAGAAGTGCGAATGCGGAGCCTGCATTTTTGAAGGAAGTAACATGCGATTGAACGTAATTTCTAAAAATATCTTTGAGCTTCCTTATTTGCTCAAATGGCGTGCAGAAAATCCCGAAGTACAGTTTCAGGTTGTAAGTTAAATAAATTAACGCAATACCAATAGGTACCTCTGCAAAGAAGAGAAAGGAAACAAAAAATTCAGATTATCGCTGCGTGAGAACCTACTCGAATAAATCAACTTGTTTTATTTCATTCGAATTTAATCGCCCTCACAGTGTCTCATCACTGAAATTGGTTATACTCTTATTATTTGCCTTCTTGCTGCGTAAAAGCAAATTCTTAACATTATCTCGTAACAGTGCATTTTATGACTACAACGTGCCTGCTCCAATGATAACATCGCCCCTCCTGTATTTTGACCCTTTTTTGACATTAACATAAGGGTGAAATCCCATGCTCATTAACCACAACACTTCGATCATCTTTCGTAACTTGCATAAACAAAAATATATATATATATATTACCAACTCTTCGGGAACGCTTTTGAAATTGAGGGCCTGCCATTTTTTTTCAATGCATCATTGTTTATTTTTGAATAATGCATAATGTTTTCGTGCTCATTATTGGTGATTTTGTTTACATACTTGCGAATTACTTCACAAGTGTTACTCTGCACTTATTTGTGATAACTTTAAGCCCTGAGGTGACATTCAAGAAATAATTAGAAAAACTTTATTTGCAGAACTGCAAATATTTGAATATTACACAGTCCAATACCAATATATTCCTCTTTGTTGATGCAGACCATCGGGTAGTTATGAACGCGCTAAACCAGCGTGCTTTAGAATCTTTTTTAGTCATCAACTGCCTCGATTCCTTTTCAATAAATTACGTAACAAGCCAAAGCCGGCAGAGTACATTCAGCGTAGTACTTACGCATACTGTGACGGCGTCTGTCGGAAAAAAATATCCTTCCTTGTACGGCGAACTAAAAAGAGGCGGTAAGACACGCACGCGTCTCTATATTGTAGCGAATGAGCCACTGGTGGTCGCTCT